GGTCATTAAGGCGGCCCCTTTGTCCAGCCGGGATTATTTTTAAATGATAAAGAGAAAATTGATGCTGCATTTTGAGAGGTTTTGGGTCTTTTGAAAGTCCTGGCTGGACACCGGAAAGGAACGCCCTTCCACAATAAGAGCCCTTGGGGCGGGTTAAACGGTACTCGGAAAACAACCTGAACCCGCAGGAACCTTCGGGGACCCCAGAAAAAGAAAAAAAATTTTTTAAAAAATAAAAAATCTTTTTGTTCAAAAAACCTTTTTTGATTTTAAAGGAATTTTTTTCCCCCTTTATATCAATACTTACCTTAAAAACTTTTTTTCGGGATTTAATTAAATAAATAAAAAATTAAACCTTCCACTTTTGTTTCCGGGTGTTTTTTTTTTCCCATGTAAAGATTAACTTCAGAAAACAAAATAAATTCAGCTGTATGAAATTCAAGAGGTGACATTAAACAGATTTATAACAATAAACATTTTAAAACTGACCGTTTTGGGGATAAAACATAAAAAAATGATCAAATAAAAAACATGGAAGAATCAAAGGTTGAAGTCTTTGATCTTGGAGGTTGACGTCACAATTAAAAAACCCAAAAACCCGGGTTTTTCCAAAACAAAAATTTCTTTTTTTCGTGCAAATTCTTTTTTTAATAGAAATAGGGCCCCCTTTTTTTTGTATCTGTGTTGTTTTAAAAACTAGTTTCGGAGGGGGGGGGGGAGCGCCCCCCATTGGCCCCAAAAACCAGTTTTCATCCGCTGTTTTTGGAAATTAAAAAAAAAAACACCCATCACACAGGGGAAAATTTCTTTCCCCCCACCGTTTGGGCAGCACCAAAGGGGGGGTTTGACCCAAAGGGAAACCGGTTCTGTCATTTTTGGATCCCCCCCCCCCCCCTTTTGAGGCTTTTTTTTTAAAGGGCCCGGGCAGGGCTTTTCCTGTGGGGGCCGCTAACTCGCCGCCCCCCGGTGCAGTTTGGGGCACGGTGCCCCGGGAAAGGCAACAGGGCCAAATACACAGCATCACATCACAGAACCGAACCTCCCACATCCGGGCCTCCCAAGGGGGGCTGCCCCCCCCGCGACGCAAACGGATGGGATCAGATGCGGCGGAGGTAAAAAGGGAAAACTTGGAGGGTGAAGATGAGGAGGAGGGGGAAGATGGGGAAGGGGGGGGATAAGGAGGACAGGGCGTGGGGGGGTGGGGGGATCAAGGCCCCGTTCGAAAGTTTGGCCCTTTCGCTCCTCCCTGTTTTTCCCAGCATCCTGCGGGGTTTTTTGAATGATGTTTGGTTTAAGATAAATGGGGATGATTATGAGGTGGTGGTGTTTGAAAAAGAAATTATAAATGGGGGGTGGTGAGAAAAAGGGAATTGAGAGGGTTTGGTGATAAATTATGAAAAAGATGAGGGTGGTGGGGGTGATGATAAATGATGATGAGGTGGTGATGAGATAAAGATGATGAGGGGGTGGTGATAAAGATGATGAGGGATGAAGATAAATATGGTGGTGGGGGTTGTTTGATGAAGATGATGATGGTGAAGTTAAATGGGGAAATGATTATGAGGGTGGGGGTGTTTATGAAGTTTGAAATGTGGTGATGATGTTTGAAGATGATGGGGGGTGGTGATGTTTTTTTGGAATGATAAAGGAGGTGGTGTAAATGATGTGATATGGGGGGTTGGTGGTGATGATGATGTTTAATTGAAGATGATGATGGTGGTGGTGGTGATGATGAAAAATGATGATGGTGAGGATGAATGAGTTGATTATGATGGGGGGGTTAAATAAATGAAAAATTAAATGTTTGGGGTGATTGATGAAATGAAAAAGTTTGGGTGGTGGGGGTTTTGAGAAGAAGAGGAAGGGGTGAAGATAAATGAGGATAAATTATGAGGGGTGGTGGTGATGATGAAAAAATTATGATGGTGGTGTTTAAAGTGAAGATGGGGGTTTGGTGGTTGATGATGAGGATAAAATTTGAGGGGTGATGAGAGATGAGGGGTGGTGGTGGTGAATGATGTTTTGATGAAGATGATGATGGTGGGGGGGGTGATGATGAAGATAAATAAATGGTGAGGGAGGGGAGGATGATATTATGATGGTTTTGGTGATGATGAAGGATGATGTTTGGGGGTTGTTGTTTATAAAGATGAGATTTTTGGGGGGGTGATAAAGTGATGAGGGGGGTTGGGGGTTTGGTTGAAAATTGAGGGATGAGGGGTGAAGATAAAGAGGATGATTAGATGGTGGGGGGAAATAAAATAAAAGATGTTTGGTGGTGATATGAAAAGATGTTTGGATGTGGTTGGTGGTGATGATAATGATAAATAAATGATTAAAATTAAGTTTTCCCCTTTTAAATTGCCCCTCACACAGGTACAGGTAAAAAAGCCAATAAAATCAGTTCAGGTCTAACCAAAAAAAAAAAATGTTTCCATAAAAAAAGGGACAATTTCTACTAAAATGAGAATAGAGATGAAAAATTTTTATAAAAAAATTCAATATAAAAAAAAGACAAAATTTTTATAAAAACTAAATTCACAGCGGAAAAATTGCTGAAAAAAAAAACCCCAGGGGGAAATTTTAAACTTTTTAAAAAAAAGGGTTTTTTGGTGGTGATGATGAAGACCCAGGGTGAAGATGATGAAGATGGTGATAAAGAAAAAGGTGAAAATGAAGATGAATGGGGTTGATATGAAAGATGGTTAAGAGAAAAATGTGACGGGACTTTTTTAGCTCTGGGGTTTTCATCCATTCCCCACGAGGAAGGCACATAAATGATGATTTAGCTAAAGATCAAATGTGGGGGTTAGTTTCCCCAGGGGGGTCGCGCAAAAGCCCTCCTTCGGGAAACCCCATATGAACCTTTCCATTGGGGGAAAACCCTTCCAAACCCCTTTTAAAACCTCCATCAGAACCTCCATTAGAACCTCCACCCAAACCCCCCAATCAGAAACCTCCATTAGAACCTCCATCAAACCCCCAAACCAAAACCTCCATTAGAACCCCCATCAGAACCCTCCCCTAAAAACCTCCATCAGAACCTCCATCAGAACCCCATTAAAAACCCTTTTCCAAAATTCAAACCCTCCATAAAACCTCCATTAGAACCTCCATCAAAACCCTCCACCCAAACCTCCATTAAACCTCCATCAAACCTCCATCAGAACCCTTCCTTTAAACCCTCCCCCAAACCCCCATCAGACCTCCATTAAAATCCACAAAACCCTTCCATAAAGAACCCCATTAAACCTCCATTAGAACCTCCATCAGAACCTCCTTTTAAACCCCCACCAAAACCCCATCAGAACCTCCATTAAAACCCTTTCCATTAGAACCTCCATTAAACCTCCATCAAACCCCTCCATTAAAACCCCTCCAACAGAACCCCCATCAGACCCTCCATTAGAAATTTTCCATCAGAACCCCCATAAAGAACCTCCTTAGAACCCCCCTTTAAAGGGAACCCCATCAGAACCCTTCCATTAGAACCTCCATTAGAACCTCCACCCAGAGCCTCCTTTAAAAAGCCCCTTTCAGAACCTCCATCAAAACCTCCTTCAAAACCCCCATTAAACCCCCTCCATCAGAACCTCCTTTAGAACCTCCATCAGAACCTCCATCAAAAACCCCCCTTAAAGAACCTCCACAAAAACCCCCCATCAAGCCTCCATTAAAAAGTCCATCAGAACCTCCATCAAACCCCATTAGAACCTCCAATTAGAACCTCCATCAAAACCCCTCCATTAGAACCCCCCAAACAGAACCTCCATCAAAACCCCTCCATTAGAACCTCCTTTAGAACCTCCATTAAAACCCTTTTCCATCAGAACCTCCATTAAAAACCTCCATCAAAACCCCTTTCAGACCTCCCATTAGAAAGTCCTTTCAAAACCCTCCATCAGAACCCCCAAATTAGAACCCCTTTAAAGAACCTCCATCAAAACCCCTCCATTAGAACCCCCAAACAAAACCTCCATCAGAACCTCCATTAAACCCCATCAGAAAATTCCATTTAAAACCCCCAAATCAGAACCCCCCTTTAAGCCTCCATAAAAAGGGATGAAAGAAAAGCACACCCCAATTTTAGTCACGGGTCAGAGAAACGGGACAAACCACGGGAAAACGGGCCCCCAAGTTTCCAACCATCTAAAAAAAAGGGGGTTTAAAGGCCCAGCAGCCCCGCTGAAATTTCTCTCCGGGATGGAGTCCCAGCCAAACAGGAAACGGGACCAGATGAAGCTACTGGGGAAAAAAGCAGAGAGACCCAAAACGTTAGAAAATTGGGAACTAAAAGATTCTGCAAAAGTGGGAGAATGGGAGAAAAGGAATGAAGCAGAAGGGAATAAAAAAGGGTCCCTATTTTCCTCCACCAGTCGGGGGACCAAAGGCCCCAGAACAATAGAAAAAGGGATCAGGGTAAACCTGGGGCCCTCTAAATGGGGAAGCTTTTTTCCAAAAAGGAAAAGTTTTTTAAACCCCCCCTAGCCCTTTTAAATTTTTGGGGGGGGGCCCCGGGGGGTGTACTCCCTTCATTTTGGGACTAAAACTGGATTTGGGTTCCACAGGGGGAGGACCCCTGAAACTAAAAGATCGGGCCTCCCAAACATTTTTATGCCCTTTTAAGGTCGTTATTTTTTTTCCCTTTTTTTATTGTGAACAACATGGATTAGATAGAAATTTGGAAAACCCCTTTCAGAAAAGGGCCCCGGGCCGGGGATTTGAACCTGTACATCAGCATGGGGGGACCAAAGCCCTTTTGCAGGTCTGATGGGGTTGGGCATGTAACCCCCTGCACCCCCGGGTTTTGCCCCCGCCCGGGGAGCATTTTAAAAATTTAAAAGTAGCCCTTTTTCGGCATTTTAGCAAACCTCACTCTTTTTGTCCTTGGGACCCCAAATTTCCCAAGGAAAAATGCCCTGTTTGTCTGTATGCAGGCCGGGTAAAAATAAGGTTGCCATCAGGGTTTTTCCCGGGGGACAGCTCAGGCACCCCGGCACCCCCTCCCTCGGGAGATGATTTTTCCGTTGGCCGGGGAGGACTGTGGCTCATGCTGCAGGTGGGGGAGGTAAATGTTCCACCTTAACATCACCTCAAATGGCTTCCTTTCCCCCTCTTCCTCCTCCTCCTCCCCTCTTCCCCCTTCTTTCCCTTTCCTTTCTTTTTCCCATCAAATTTCTGTTTCCTCTTCCTCAAACCTTTGTAGTGTTCCATCCACCCCACCCACCCAACCCCTCCATCCACCCAATCCACCCAAACCTCCATCCCACCCCATCCATCCATAAATTCCATCCACCCAAAAAATTCCCATCCTCCATCCATCCACCCCCCACCCATCCATCCATCCCCATCCATCCTCCACCCATCCATCCATTCCATCCTTTTCCCTCCATCCATCCATCATCCACCATCCATCCTCCATCCATCCATCCATCCACCCATCCATCCTTTCCTTTCCCCCAAACCATCCCCTCCATCCCTTTCCCACCCCCATCCTCCATTTTTCCATCCATCCCCCCATCCATCCACCCATCATCCATCCACCCAACCATCCACCCATCCTCCATCCATCCCCCATCCATCCACCACCCCTTTCCACCCATCCATCCACCCAAACCATCATCCACCATCCATCCTTCCCTTTCCATCCATCCATCCTCCATCCAAAATCCTCCATCCCCCCTCCATCCATCATCCATCCCAATCCATCCATCCATCCTCCATCCTTTCCACCCAAACATCCACCCAAACCCATCCATCCATCCATCCATCCATCCATCCATCCATCCCCCATCCACTCCCCCCAAATCTTTCCATCCATCCCCATCCCCCCATCCACCCAAACCCATCCTCCATCCACCAAATCCTCCTCCATCCTTTCCACCACATCCATCCATCCTTCCACCCAATCCATCCCCCATCCACCCACCATCCTCCATCCATCCATCCTCCTCCATCCATCCATCATCCATCCTTTCCTCCATCCATCCATCCATCCATAAACCATACATCCACCCATCCATCCACCCCATCCTCCATCCATCCATCCACCCATCCATCCTTTCCACCTCCACCCAAACCCATCCACCCTCCACCCACCCAAATCCTTTCCACCCCATCCATCACCCACCCAAACCATCCTCCATCCACCAAATCCCCATCCATCCATCCATCCACCCTTTCCTTTCCAAACCTCCATCCATCCATCCATCCATCCTTTCCCCCAAAACCATCCACCCATCCATCCTCCACCTCCTTTCCCATCCCCCATCCATCCTCCACCCTTTCCATCCTTCCATCCATAAATTCCATCCCCCCTTTCCATCATCATCCATCCACCCCATCCTTTCCCATCCTTTCCATCCACCCCTTCATCCACCATCCCCCCTCCATCATCCTCCATCCATCCACCCACCCCATCACCCTTCCATCCATCATCCACCCATCCATCACCCATCCACCTTCATCCATCCATCCATCCATCATCCACCCATCCTTTCCATCCATATCCATCTTTCCATCCTCCACCACCCCATCCATCACCCACCCAAACCAAATTCCCCCTCCATCCACCATCATCCGCCCCATCCATCCATCCACCCATCCACCCCATCCATAAAATCCATCCACACCATCCATCCATACCATCCATCCATCATCCCATCCACCATCCATCCATCCATCCCCTTTCCATCCACCCAAACCACCCATCCAAAACCATCCATCCGCCCAAACCACCCCATCCATCCATCCATCCATCCGTCCACCATCCTCATCCTCCACCATCCTTTCCATCCATCCATCCACCCAAATCCATCACCCATCCATCCATCCATCCATCACCACCCATCCGTCCATCCATCCATCCATCCATCCATCCATCCATCCATCATCCATCATCCATCCATCCATCCATCCATCATCCATCCATCCATCCATCCATCCATCCATCATCCATCCATCCATCCATCCATCATCCATCCATCCATCCATCCATCCATCATCCATCCATCCATCCATCATCCATCCATCCATCATCCATCCATCCATCCATCCATCCATCCATCCATCCATCCATCCATCATCCATCCATCCATCCATCCATCCATCCATCCAGGGTGTTTTCCTCCTTTATGGTCTGCAGACGTCTCACTCTGTGTTTGTGTAAACAGTCACGCAGCGTGGACAAGCAGCACGCCGTCATCAACTACAACCTGACAACTGATGAGCACCTGGTGAAAGATCTGGGAAGCCTGAATGGGGTAAACGCTCTGACACTGCTACACTGAGGCTGCTGTTTGCCTCTGACATCACAGTTCTTAACCAATCAGCTGCTAGGACAGTCTGTCTCTATTAGTTGATGATTTCATCTCACTTCCAGTCTATTCTTTTTTCCCCAACAATTAAAGTTTTGTTCATCTTGTTTTCTGCAGACGTTTGTGAACGACCTGCGGATTCCCGATCAGACCTACATCACACTCAAACTGTGCGACATCATCCGCTTCGGATATGATATCCTTCCCAGTCTCCTTGTTTGTGTGTGTTTATATTGGGTGGGGCGACAGTGGTGTTGGGTGTTTGCCCGGCAACTGAAAGGTTGTCGGTCCAAGCCCTGGCTCTAGTTTCCATCATCGTTGTGTCTTTGGGAAGACACTTCACCTGCATTACCACCTTCTGATGGTGGTCATATGGTGGCGCCAGCCTACGGCAGCCTGGCTTCTATCAGTGAGCCCCAGGGCAGCGGTGGCAGCTCACCACCATCAGTGTGTGAGTGGATGGCTGAATGTAGTGCAAAGCTCTTTGGTCAGGTCCCCACCGGCCGTTTACCAGGAACTTCTGGAATATTCACCAACGTTCTGAGTTCAGCCAGACCTCATGGAGACATTAGTCTGATCCCAATATGTCTGACCCCCAATCTAACCAGAGAGGTTTATTTAGATTACCTGTGGACTAAAGGTCAGAGTTTAAAATATACAGGTAACGCTTAAGGTAAATATCAGGGTTATACTTAATGTCAGGGTTAGGGTTAATGTCAGGGTCAGGTTTAATCTCAGGCTTAATGTCAGGGTTAGGTTTAATGTCAGGGTTAGGTTTAATCTCAGGCTTAATGTCAGGGTTAGGTTTAATGTCAGGGTTAGGTTTAATCTCAGGCTTAATGTCAGGGTTAGGTTTAATGTCAGGGTTAGGTATAATCTCAGGCTTAATGTCAGGGTTAGGTTTAATGTCAGGGTTAGGTTTAATGTCAGGGGTAAGTTTAATGGCAGGGTTAGGTTTAATGTCAGGGTTAGGTTTAATGTCAGGGTTAGGTTTAATGTCAGGGTTAAGTTTAATGTCAGGGTTAAGTTTAATGTCAGGGTTAGGTTTAATGTCAGGGTTAAGTTAATGTTAGGGTCAGGTTTAATGTCAGGGTTAGTATTTATGTCAGGGTTAAGTTTAATGTCAGGGTCAGGTTTAATGTCAGGGTCAGGTTTAATGTCAGGGTCAGGTTTAATGTCAGGTTAGTATTTTTTGTCAGGTTTTAAATTTAATGTCAGGGTCAGGTTTAATGTCAGGGTCAGGGGTTTTAAAGTCAGGGTCAGGTTTATTGTAGGGTTTTGGTTTAATGTCAGGGTTAAGTTTAATGTCAGGGTCAGGTTTAATGTCAGGGTCAGGTTTAATGTCAGGGTCAGGTTTAATGTCAGGGTCAGGTTTAATGTCAGGGTCAGGTTTAATGTTAGGGTTAGGTTTAATGTCAGGGTCAGGTTTAATGTCAGGGTCAGGTTTAATGTCAGGGTTAGGTTTAATGTCAGGGTCAGGTTTAATGTTAGGGTCAAGTTTATTGTTAGGGTTAAGTTAATTGTCAGAGTTGATACAAATTTAGGTT